AGAAACATCAAGGATGAAGCCCTCTTATTCCGCCAGGAAGATTAATTCCACAGAGTAGGAGGATCAAGTTACAACAACCATGATCTCTTTTTAATTGCTGATTTCCTAGAGGATGTGCTCAGAAAGGAAATGTGATCAGCCTTAATCATATAATGGCATTAGAACAGCTTGTCCTTTCTTTCCTATGGATGTGAAAGAACATTCGAATTTCAGATCCGGCTCCCCCGACTGCTTTAAAAACGAAAATGTCCATTAATACATTTCAGGAAATTACAATCAAACTGGTTGTCTCAGTTATTAGTAAAGTTGATAATTCCGCCTCCCTCAACCATAGATAAAACATGCCGTTTGGGAACACTGGCGATAATTTGAACTCTGTGGAATTCCTTGGTTTATCTTTATCATGTATAACAGAAATCTTAATTTTCCAGTTGTATTAAGCTCTTCTTATTCCTGAGGCAAAACCAGGAGGCAAAAAATCTTCAAAGCCAATGAATTGTGTTCCTGTCTTCTCAGATTCCAGCTTTAAGGCCGAGTCGAGAAGACAAAACAGATGAATTAATTCAAGTGTCACAATTGTAATTAGCTCATTTGCTTTACTCCCCAGATTTTCAATATTTTGAATTCAGCCAATAGTTAAGTTTTGAGGGTTTATATGGCATAAACATTTGCTAATCAACCTCCATAAAACTAAGTTTTCTTTTTAAAAATGATTTCCTGGGGCTGATAGGGAGGGTAGGAAGGAAAAATAAATGGGCCAATTTTCTCATTTTTCATGCCAGAAAGGCAATAAATACCGTCCAAAGCTAAAACATGCAGTTTAAGGGAAAGTGTATCACTTCGGCCTGTGCTTTCTATGATCTCTCTTCCCTAACCTTAAAGGGATAGGGGGCTTATCTCTCTCAAGTGTGTATTTGTCTGTGTGTGTTCATGTGCCCACGTGGGTCTCCATGTGTGTAAATCCAAAGGTCGGCGATTTCTTCAGTTTAACTTCCAATGCTTCTCCATTTTTTTTTTAATTTTGTAAAATGGTGCCAGATAGAGACAGAGAGGAAATAAGAAAACACCCCCAGGGGGTTTGTCACACAATCCCTTCTCCTACATTCTCCTCTCAGCATTTGGGTACACATGCACAGGTGCCTGGTGTGTCTTTCACACTGCTGGATCCAAGACTCCAACCGCACTAGCCTCGTGGAATGCAGGGCCTTAACCACCACGCCATCTGCTTGCCCACTGCTTTTCTCCTGTTAATCAGTCTTTGGTCACAAGTAGTCCTAGCCAAGGACTTGTGAAGGGTAGAGGAGGAAAAAGTTATCCCATTCCCTGCCACAGAATAAATTAAGAATGACCAGTGAACAGGAAGCAGCCAAAGCTATTGACAGACAGTCCCGGTGGTTGGAGGGTGGCAGGTGGAGGAAGTGGCGCTAACTGCTCTTCAGTGTCTGAGAACTCAGGCTTACTCAGGAGAAGAGAAGGACAGCTATGAAGGACAGCCCATCTATCAGGTGGGGGGTGGGGGGGATGGCTCAGTGCCTCAATTGCGGGGGCCAGGAGTGGGGGCACACGGTGCTCGCTCAAGTCTTACTGCCTTGGTGAATTTTACAACTTACGCATATTTTGCCTTTGTATTATTTTTTAAAGAATTATTTTATTTTACTTTATTTATTTATTCATTTGTTTATTTCAAGTTGACCAGAGAAGGTCAGAGTGAGAGAAAGAGAGAGAAAGCGAGAAATCAAGCCCCAGGTCTGGGACTCAAACCGCTGTCAGCCATGTGGGAATCCAGCGCCTTTAACCACCACGCCACCTGTCAGCCCCAGATTTTGCCTTTTTAAAAAATCAATGTTTGGGGTAGAAGAGCAGATAGCATAAGGTTATGTTGCTGGACTCCCACATGACCAACCATAGTTAAAGTCCAAGACCCGGTGGCTTGAAACTCATGCTCGGCACATGTGTGTGCATGCCCAAAATCCTAAGAGGAGAATGAAGGAGAGGGGTTATAGTGTGGCCATCCCCCTGGGGCCAATTTCGCGTTTTCCGTCTCTGTCTCTCCAGCAAGCACACGGGCCCTATACCAAAAATCTCTCTCTTAAAAAAGACATCAGTGTTTTAAATGCAAGGAAGATAATTTCTAACCAAAAAGGTTTGCAACGGAGAACATGTAGCTGTTGCCTCTCCCACTCGGGGGCTCTTCAGCCTGCTGGTTCATTAGTGCAAATACTGAGCAATTGCTGTGCCCGCTGAGGGTGCTGTCTCTCTTTTTCTCTGTCTCTCTCATGGAAGAAATAAACTTAAATTTCTTTTTAAATTAAATAAAACTAAAAAATGATAAAGCAGCTGGGTTGAGTCAGGATCCACACACACGAGATGGGCTTGCGTGGGGCCTGGGAGACCCCGTGGCTGACTCGGCCTCCCCACAGCCCTCCCACACTACAGGCTCCTAGGAGACAGCCCCCATCTGCACCCTCCTCCCTGCCTCCCTCACCCGGTACCAGACAGTCCATGCCCAACTCTCCTCATCCCATCCCTTGATACCCAGAACAGAGGAGCCCAGGAAAGCCTAGATGCACCAGTCTCCCTGACTCGGTCACCCTGTGCCCTGTGGATGGCCTGCAGCAGTGGCTGCAGCTCGTTTGGCCAATGGGCGGCACCTGTTGGCAGCCATGGGGGAAGGACAGGGCTTCGGAGCCATCCCCATCGTCTGGTTCCCTCCCTGCTGAGTCCCATCCCAAGGCCCAGGCCCTCCTCTCGCCCTCTCAGGCTGAGGGGTAGTGAGGACTCCCGGCTTTTGCCAGCCCCAGGCCTGCAGTGTCTCTTACTGTCCTCTGCACCCTGGTCACACCTTTGTTGCGGGCATCTGTCCCCTGCCAGGCGCCTGCCCCGCTCTCAAGGCCTCTTCTTCTTGTCTTAGTAGGGCCCCAGCACCACCCCAGTGTGGCTGGGAGAGCTGAGCAGGAGCCAGGGAAGCAGCCGTCCACCCAGGCTCCCTCGTGTCTCCCTGAGGAGGGTCTCCATGCACCCCATCTTCCCCTGTTCCCTGCATGTCTCCTGTCCTCCCCACGAGCACTGGGAGCCCCAACAGCGGGCGTTTCCAGGGAGCAGTGGTCTGTACAGCGACTTTGTGCTACCCGGAAATGGGTGCCCCTTCCCCCGGAGACTTGACTTCATCTGGCAGAAAACTTGCTATAGTAGCGCTGATTGTGTATCTAGAAAACAGAAAGCCGTCAGGACAAATCTGTAACTCCAAAGTGTCTCTGCCAGGAGCAGCAGGCACCCTCGGATGGGATGCCTGTGCTACACACCACCTGCACTCCTGGGCCGGCCTTCCTGGCTTTTCTGTGTGTACATGCGTATTCTTCCCGGCCCCACTATCCTGACAGCACATTCTACATCTTGGGAGGGGCTCTAAGGTCAAGTGGTCAAAACCAGCGTCTCTTTTTAGAGAAGTGGTGGTGCTATTTTGCTATAGGGTGTATGCACTCACCAGAGAGACAGAGAGCCAGAAATCACCCTCCATGGGACAGCCACGCCACACACTGTTTTGGGCACACACGCACACATACCTGGCATGACTTTCAAGTCATTTGATCCAGGACTCAAATTGTGGTCGGCCATGTGGGAGTCCAGCGACACAACCATTACACCATCCTCTGATCCCCAAAACCAGCATCTTGCTGGAGAGGTTGGTACCCACCCTGTCCTACCCTGAGACTGATCTTCTTTGTTTTGTTTTGTTTTATTTTTACTTTGTGATCTCAACCCTCACTTGGAAATTCATTCCCAACCCATTTTACAGATGTAGAAATTGAGGCTCCCGTGGCTAAGCAGTACCTCCTAGTGTGCTTGTGAAGAGCTGCTGTGTGGTTCTCCCCACCTTCAAATCTCCTCTCGGCTCAGGACGTTGGAGTCCATCAGGCATGGAGAAATGGCCGCTAGGACTCACTGTGCCTTTGCTTTGTTTTAACCGTGGCTGGGGGCATTTGGGGCCATCCAAAAGCCCAGGATCGTGAGTCTGAATGTCAGTTTTCACTTAGGATAAATTTTTACCCCGTGGTCGAAAGCCATTTAAAAAAGAAATGTGAGGAAGACGATAATGACGTGCTGGTAACCTTTAATGACAGTGGCACTGGCAAATCGTACAGTTCAGGAAGGGCTGATGCTTGATCCAGAAAGCTCTTGTTAAAATCCAATCATTTCAGCCAGGA